CATAATCGTCTTAATGCATCTTACAGCATTTTATGTTATGCAAACAAACTGAAATCAATTCTTTGATAATCAACAGGCAGGTCCACAAGAAATCTTTAGATCTTTCTGCACTTTCTGTGTTGATTATGTGAGAAAAAAATTAATCCCAATATTTAATACATACAAGAGTGAGCAGAAATCTGCTGAACTTCTGAATTCTGTGGACACAGATTCTGTGTGGACCTGCAGAAATCCAAACCTGTTTGCGATCAAAGTGCATCTAAAGAAAAAGAGAGGAAAATGGCATTTCACGTTCTAGTGGAAAGGCTCAGGCAGAAGAACATCATTGCATTATAAAACCTGCCCGCGGGGGAAGACCAGCTATGGGTCCTTGAGGGAGTGCTTGTGGGTATGGACATGAATATGATGGCACCGTGTTTGGCAGAGGAGCACCGATGCTCTGAGGGTTGTAAGGCATGGCTGATGGTTGAGATGTCGGTGCAGGTCTTACATGAGCTGGAGAACCATTAGCTAGCCTTTGGAAAGGTGCGGTGGAGTTATGGGTCTCCTGAGGTTGTGAGGGCTCATTAGAGGAACTCTGAGGAAGATGAACACCCTTCAGCACCATCTCCTGGAGCTTATCGATCTTCACACGCCTCAGATGTGCCAGCTTCCTCTTGCTCTGGTAATCATCAATGAAGCTGTCCAGAGGCAAGGATCCATCCAAGAATGAATCGGCCATGTTCTACGAAACACGTGGGAGAATCTTAGGACATTGTACATGGTGTAAAAATCAGTTATGCATTTCTGAAAACGTGGACAATGTTGATACCTCTGTTTCTTCTTCGATCTTGGCTCCCTCGGTTTGCAAAAGAGCCAACAATGTGTCTAGTGAACGGTTTCCTGAAAAAAGATCCAGTTTAAAACATGAATATGTGTAAAATTGCTTCAATATTTCATCAGTGGCATCCAGTTGTACTACATTAGCAGTTAGAAAGACAGTCACATTAATATTGCAATCTCTAATTGGACAGTCGTCTGAGAAATAGTTATTTTGCATTTTAAGTAATGCGTCTGCTCAAATAATAATGGGTCATGGAGGAACAGTTCACCCAAAAATGAAAATTAGCTGAAAATGTGCTCACCCTCAGGCCATTCAAGAAGAACATGAGTTTGTAGATTTGGGGAAATGTAGCATTCCATCACTTGCTCACCAATGGATCCTCTGCAGTGAATGGGTGCCGTCAGAATGAGAGTCCAAACAGCTGATAAAAACATCACAATAATCCACACCACTCCAATCCATCAGTTAATGTCTTGAAAAGCTGTGTTTTAAGAAACATATCCATCAAGATGTTTTTATCTTCAAACCATTGCTTCTGGCTAAAATACCAGTCCATACAAATAATAACACTTCCTCCAATGAAAAAGTCCTCTCACATCAAAATACATATGCTTAGAACTGATTTGGACTGTAAACAGTGCTTGATATGTGCTCCTGATTCAGATGAGATGACTTTCACTGGAGAAATAAATCATATGGATAGAAGACAAGTATTTTAGCCAGAAGCAATGGTTTGAGGTTAAAAACATCTTGATGGATTTGTTTCTTACAAACATGCAGCTTTTCTCTTCACAAGACATTAACTGATGGACTGGAGTGGTGTGGGTTACTTGTGAGGCTTTTATCAGCTGTTTGGAGTCTCATTCTGATGGCACCCATTCACTGCAGAGGATCCATTGGTGAGCAAGTGATGGAATGCTACATTTCTCCAAATCCGTTCTGATGAAGAAACATACTCATCTACATCTTGGATTGCCTGATGGTGAGTAAATCTTTAGCAAATTTTCATTTTTGGGTGAACTAATAATTGAGACAGTGCTGTAAGCATTTTGCATTGCTTTCATAGAAATACTGTACCGGATAGTGATCAAACAGACCCATAAAGACCACAGGTCTAATAAAAGGAGCGTTTTACATAATGTGGATAAGTTTACATCAGTGTAGAGTTTCTTTTGGAAATTATTCAAGCAGTCTTTGTATCAGTGTAATTCTAGTCTATCTGCTGTATCCTACTGACCCCGATAAACTCACTTTCAAAACTTCTGCTCGGCTAAATTTACTCTGACAACACAAGATAAAAGGTTTCTTAAAATAAATCATGGAGAAAACTGGATAAATACAGACCACAAAATACAATCCTTTAACACTGACATGTGTGTGCAGATTTAACCTGAGATGATCAGTATCAGCTGCAACTCAAGAGAGCAGCAAATAAATAAATGGGGCAGTTGTGGCCTAATGGTTAGAGAGTCAAACTTGTAACCCAAAGGTTGTAGGTTTGAGTCTCGGTACCAGCAGGGATTGTAGGTGGGGGGAGTGAATGACCAGTGCTCTCTTCCACCTTCACGACTGAGGTGAGTCCAAACCCCCAACTGCTCCCCGGGTGCCGCAGCAAAAATGGCTGCCCACTGCTCTGGGTGTGTGTTCACGGTGTGTGTGTGTGTGTGCACTTTGATGGGTTAAATGCAGAGCACAAATTCCCAAGTATGGGATACGATACTTTGCCACATGTCAATTTCACTTCACTCACTTATAAAGAGGACGCATTATGTGACCAAACAGGTTCACCAGGATGCTTTATTGTTTGACACCAAAGGAGGAAGACAAAAAAGGTTTGGATAAAAGAAAGATGTGCTCTTTTATGTTCCTGTCTAAACTAGAATATTTGAAGTTTGACGGGTAAAAATGATTTGGATACTGAGGTCATGCTTAAAAAATGTCTGAACATCATGCATGCATGTGTCAAATGCTGCAGGATGTTTTCTCTGCGCTAACTTTACTTTTCTTCATCAGTTTTGGTGAGACCCTTGAGCAAGGCACTGAACCCTCAACTGCTCCCCGGCCGCCACAGCAAAAATGGCTGCCCACTGCTCCAGATGTGTGTGTGTGTGTGTGTGTGTTCACTACTCACTGCTGTGTGTGTGCACTTGGATAGATGAAATGCAAAGCACAGATTCCAAGTATGGGACACGATACTTGGCTACACGTCACGTCATTCACTCACTTTTTTAAATTGCCTAAAATGTCCAGGTTAGGGTTAGTCCTTCTGCATTATATGCACGTGTATTTCAATTGCTTTGACGTTCTCTGTAAATCCCGCCTTCTCACACACTATGATTGGTCAATTATGTACAACGCCTACACCAGGGGTGTCCAACCCTGCTCCTGGAGAGCTACCGTCCTGCAGACTTTAGTTCCAACCCTGCTCCAGCACACCTGTCTGTAATTATCAAGCAACCCTGAACACCTTGATTAGTTGGTTCAGGTGTGTTTGATTGGGGTTAGAGCGGACAACACTTGATCTATTGATTTATCATTTGAAACACAACAAACATTCGTGAAACGGTT